CAAAGTTGGGAATATGAGGACGATCCTTGGGCCGAACATGCAAGATGGTTTCCAACCTGTCAGTTTTTATTGAAATTAAAAGGACAACTTTTTGTGCATCAACATCTGTCTGTCAGTCCACATTTGCCACGGCCGATCATTACAAAACAAGATGGAGCGACCATTGACCCTGGCACTGCTGGAGGTGCAGGAGGATCGAGTCAAGGAAATGTTGATATTCCACCTAGTGGTCCGAGAGCCCAACAACCTGAACCGACACCAGAGATAATTGATCCACAGGTACAGAGATGGATAGAAAAATTGTCGAAAATATTTTTTTTCGTTCTTTTCCATGCTATTCAGCAATTGCAGGTATAAATTCATTTTTTCTATATTGCAATACGCTAAAATAATCAGCTATGGATTTATGTGCAGGCATTCTGCAACTATTGGTATGTTTATAGTATGTTAATACAATATTTTATTTATTTGTTTTATTTTCAGGCTGAAATGATAAAACGTAAAGAAAGAGTGAAAAATATCATGGAGAACTCAGATCTTGTGAAAAGTATTTTACTGATGGGTTTCGATGAAAAATTCGTAAGTATATGTTTGCATATTTGGCGCTCCAGAAGTGTGTGTACCAATATAGAAGCAACTAATTTTGTTGGCCTAGTTTACATCAAGTTGTGTAAAAGGACTATAATCTATGGATGGGGGGCATATTCACTTGGCTAACACAGACAGTCCCCAAACTCGTAATAGAAGTAAAATAAGGAAAATTGGAAAAAAATTATGGCCTAACCCTGCCTGATAAACACACTACGGGAGTTCCGTATATTTATTCTTTAGCAGTGAACTAGCGGAGATTTACCTAAACCAGAACAAGCTTAGATTTTTTGTCACAAGCCTTGTTTAAAGCAAAAGGCAATTTCACTCTCAAATTCCAGGTTGCAGCTCTTCTTGAAGGTAACATCGAGAGTGGAAACGTTGCAAATCCTGATGACATTTATGATTCTATGTCGAGCTTACTTGATGATGTCATGAAGAAAGAAGCAGAAATCAAAGAAGAGGAGTGCCAGATGCAGGCTGCTGTCCAGATACCTGCAGTGAGAAATGTTGATGGGCCAATTTCTATGGCTTTTCTATCTAACAGTTCAGGTAATGTAGTCACAATAATAATTATTTCAACGGTGTTGTATAACATTCATTTTAGAGTTAATATAATAGTTTTCAGTGCAAATGCAATTTAATTATACCTACATTACTCAAGTATATTGGTAACTAATTAACCAACTCACTAAAGTGTAAGAAAAAGTCATTTAGCAATTCAATGGGGGCTTCATGTTTATACCAAAGGAAAGTGAAAGACGGTTCACTCATATAGTGAGTCCAAGGCTTCTTGTCGGATTGCCAATCTTCCTGGGGGTGAATTTGCAATTCAGAAATTTGCACTTTTCGTTTTATACCGATAGCTGTCAGATTCATTTCAGTATGTGATGTGATCAAGGTCGCCAATGCAACTTTGTTAGGATTGCAACATCCTTTGTTGCGCAATAACTGTTATGAGTCTCTCACTCGCATTGCTTTAGCTGTGGTTATGTGAAGTCAATTTTGAGCCTACACACTCACACATTGAAATTATATTTTCCAAAATCCATTCCGTCTTTTGTTTTGTTATAGATATTTGTAAAAGTGTGACCAACATAAAAAATTGAATCTCACATTTTCATATAAACTAATACATATGCAGCTTTATTGAAACTTTTTTTTCTTTCACCAGAAAATCAAATGGAATTACAGTGGAATGCTGAAAAGGATGGCTTACTAGTAAGAATTTTTTGTGCTAATGATTTGGTTACTGCCAGACTAACTACTTATCTTTCTTCTATGTTTTTGTGCCCTCAGATCCGTATGCATATAATGCAAAGATGCTGTAGCGAGAGTAAAGATAACTATCCTAAGTGATTCAAGAGTGTTGCTGCACATTAACACAAATATATTTCTGTAACATTTCGTCTGACCAAGGACCAATGATCTTTCATTTCATTCACCAGCTGTTAATTAATTGAGATTTTATTGAATATTTAACAAGCTTAACTTCCATACTTTTATAGGATTGTTTAAATATGCATACTGTAACTACTGGTTATAGTATGCAACTATGTATATCTTAAGAAGTAAGACCTTGGTCAGACGAAACGTTACAGAAATATTATATTTGTGTTAGTGTGCAGCAAGACTCTTGAATCGCATAAGAATTTTTTGTCTCGACTTCACTCAATGTTTTCATGTTTCATAATTGGTAAGAGAAATTCAATTGTTTTAGAAAGAAAACAAGGACTTGAAAGAAGAGCGGGATAAATTGAAAGAACAGCTGGATAAATTGAGAGAACAGGGGGATAGATTGAAAGTCGAATTGGAATCAAGAAAGAATGATACAAAGTGCAAAATATGTTTGAGTAATCCTGTTAACATGGTTTTTCTACCCTGTCGTCATTTGTTTTGCTGTTTGGATTGTGCACAAATGATGAGACAATTGAATCTTCGTGAATGCCCTTGTTGTCGTAAGGAGATTGGCAATACAGTAAAAATTTACTTGTGTTGAATTTAGGTAGATTGGAGAAATTATTTTTGTTTGGGACACTTCCAGTACTTTCTGTATTGCCAATATCCCTTTAACTGAAATAAATAGAGACTGTAAATATTAATTAAACTCGCTATTTTTGGCAACAACTATGATAGTGAATGTCTTAATTTTTGGATCATTTTTTACCTGTTTACGCTATGCCTTTTACCAATTCACGACGACTCCGACACCAGGGCACCTTGCCACTATACTTCCACAGTTACTTTGAGGTGAACTTCTTTTGGGTATAAGTTTATTTCGACTCCATAATCATCATAACAGGCAATAAAATGATTGATAAAAATAAATAAATGAAGCCAAAAAGTGGTACGTGTTCACTAACCTAAAGTAATTGAATTATTTCACACACACACAACCACAGAGAAATTTCAAAAAAAGAAGAACGCAATAAATTACATACCGGTAGTAAACAAAAATAAAAATTACTTGTCACAGAGTCAAATGCCAGAATTGTGGGCATGAGACTTTTCACCCTAATGTGCTATTTTACTTATTTTTGTATTGTCCATTTATAAACTAACATTGCAGGATTTCACTGTGAATTTTATTCATATTATTGCTGATTTTTCTGCAGTGCGACGTGCTATCTTTACGTCGGTATTCTTGCAACATATGCATACCTCCTTCCGCGAGTACGACGGTAATTATTTCGCTTTATCAATTATTTTTTGTTTATTATGCTAATTTGTAATATGCTTGAATTATGCAACGCACTTATTGTAAATAATGAATAAAATACATTTATAGAAACCCGGAGAACTATTTTCCACAGACAAGCACGGGCCACGTATCGAAAAAATGTGGGAACCACTGTCTTAGAGCCGAGGCTCCTTTAGTTGGAAGGGCCTTCCATAGTGACGTCATACAAAATTCTATAGATTTCTAAAAACGCCATAATATATCTGAAAATGCATTATGTCGTCATACGTATAATTTATTTTTAAATTTGTTCAAAACTAGAATTTCTAATCGAGATACGTATGGTACTCACGCAAGTAATATTGCCTAACAATTTAATGATCTCGGCTGTTATTAGGCGTCATGGGGTCCGAAAACGTGACGTCATAATAACCGTTTCTAGACACGAGCAGTGTCATGACTAGGGCTGGGCATTTCGAATCGCCGCCATCTTGTTTTTTTCCTTGCCGCCAATGGTCGAGGTAAATTTCTCAATATTTTTCATTGAAGCCATATTTTTTCAACGGAATCTTGACATGAGACTCTTTTCTGTAGTGAGTAAGTGAGGTATTGATGAAAACGTGTTTTTCATGGTGTGTGAACGCTCAGCAATCTGTCTTAGTGATGTATTTTACGTTTTCAGTAATTTATGTGTTTGGAGGACCCAATACAATTGGAAAGTTATATACAATTATAAATGTTCCAATTCCAAGTATTCGAGATTCGATTCGAAAAAATTATTCGATTCGATTCTGAAATTATCAGTTATTCGAAAATGCCCAGCCCTAGTCACGACCCAATCAATGACGAGTACAACATTACCGATAAATTAAATTTCGTTTCGCTCTTCAAAAAAACTACGTCTATAATTAAAAACGGTCCTTGGATGGTTATATACACGTTTTTATTCCGTAGACTCGACTTTGTGTGGATATCGCCATCCGTATTTCTCTCACAGCTCAAGTTAAAAGGATTTGATAATTTGGTGTTGTGGGTGATCCCCCTCCGATCTAAAATTTCAAACACCTCCCCAAATTTTGAGGTGTAAAACCACACTTTTAATTCCCTAACTTGGATACACTTTTTATTCAATTATTCAGATATTGACGCGTTTATGCCAGTACAGATAGTCAGTCAAAGACAGAAAACATTATCATGAGTTACAAATAGTTTTATCGCTGATAGCAAAATATTTACCACCCCCTAAAGTTTGGAAACACCCCTTTCTCGAAAATGAAAAGCTGGGGAGCATACTGATTTAGCGTCAATTGTAAACTCGATCAAGCACTAATAAGAAATGAATTAATGTTCCATAATCCTCTCAAAATTATTTTATCGATGCTCTCAAAATTATTTTATCTGGGAATCTAAAAAGGAATAACTGGCTAACTAATCCCATACACGACGTGGACTGGTGGCCGGACAAGTTCGCCAATCGCCATATAATTGAGTCGCCTCATCGGCTCTCCTGTTCCTCGGGGGATAAAGTAATGTACAAAATAATTTTGTTGCTTTGAAGTAAAGAATGTTGAATACTGTTTAAAACGTACAATCCTCAAATTATTTCAAAGTAGCTTAAATATCATGGTAAAGTTACAATGACGAATACATCTATTTTTTCCTATTTTGTTCATTTTTTATAAAAAAAATTCCATTTTCTACAATTTGGAGCTACCGTAAACAGCCCGCCATTAGATGAACGTCGAAAACAAAACAGGGCAACAAATGACGTTTGGGACAGATTGTTTTGTAATCGAAGCACGTGATTTGTATTGTTGACCAATCGGTGATCGTCACTTCTGCTGTTTGTTTCTTTATTATATTTGCCTTCTTCGTAACCCGACACGTTGGCCAAGGAAAGCGGGACCGACGAGCATTCGAATCAGGGGCAGCGAGGACGAGGTTGGCTGAGTGTTAGTAGAACCGTTTACGGACAGATTGAGCTTAAGTTTAGACATCGTTGGTCTTCCGAGTTCAAGTATTATTGAGGATCGCTGCGATACTTCGAAAACGCTGGCGGTAGCAATGTTTATATCAACAGGAATTAGTCTCAGATGATATTACTTTTGCGTTTTCTTTTACTCATTTTAACTCTTACTTCTATTGTTTTGAACCTTTATACATGTTTACTATATCGCTGATTTTGCAGTGTTTGTACCCCTTTTTTAATATTGTTTTTATATATGTGTGCGATATTCAATATTGCGGATTGTTACCTTATTTTATGTGCGATCATTCAATAATAGACTTTTATCCCTGCTCATTACCTATAAATCAGGTGTTTTGTTCACATTTTCATAGAGGCCTGCAACGTGAAATGGATGATTTATAAACGCCTCCACTCCAAATCGATTTTGTTGTACTATTGGAGAACCCAGGGTAAGCCTTATATATATGTGGTAAGTGTTATTTTGCCTACAAATCGCTGACGTTCAAATTGGAAAACGTATAATGGATACAATTTCGGGGGCGTTCATGGAGCGATATATGTATGATATTTCTGCTTACGCTAAAAGTAAGACTACTTTGATCTTTTGTACAAAGCCCCCGTCACTAATGCAAAAATTTAAGATTTGAAAAAATCACCTGCGCCACGGTTTACAGTCAAGGTTAGTACTGCATTCTTAACACTAACCATAAATGAATAATTACTAATTTTCTTGTTTGAAGTGTTGGTGGGGTTGTTTTTTGCCGGTGACTATGTACAAAAGATGCTAATAATTTCAGAAATATTGATGAGCAGTAGAGAAATGGAAATTATTTTATATGCTTTAGAGATTGAACCTTAAATCGCATGTTGGTCAGCAAGTACGTCACGTCTCAACGAAAACACGGTATTTTGAATTTTTATCATAAAGTATTTATTCTATTTCAAGCCGGTTTACTTGAAACAAAGGGTCTAAAAATCAGTTTTTTAGGGCATGCAAAAACTGTTCCGAAGGGCAATGGATGGCACAGTGGAAACGACGGCGAAAAATCGCCGAAAGATCCGCTCTTATTCTGTAAGTACTTGGGTATTACTGTAATCAACTTATTACTTAATAATCTTGTGATTTAATTTTGACATTACGTTATTTTAAATGTACACACGATGAAAAAACGCATCATCTAAAAAATTGTGTGTACATTTAAAATAACGTAATGTCAAAATTAAATCACAAGATTATTAAGTAATAAGTTGATTACAGTAATACCCAAGTACTTACAGAATAAGAGCGGATCTTTCCCATTCAAGTATGGGGGTGCGACAATCGTTAATTTCGAAGGAATGCAAAATAGAGTGGCATTTGTTCAAGGGAATAAGAATTTGCTTTTCATTCAATCGAGTCCTCGAACAAAAACTTATTGCGTTGCGAAGCATGTGAGCATCGTTTTTTCCGGAGGTGTCTCGGAACAAAGATACGTAAAAGTTTTATCTGTATCAAATTTAATTTCATTTTAGCTTTTGAGGTAGTGTATTATACAGACCACCACGAGAATGCGATGTTTTGTTTGTTACAGGCATAAGAAGGGTGAAACAAAGATCTTGAATACATCATTCAAAGCAAGCGGGAAGCGTGTTAGAAAAGCAAGGTGCAATACTTCGATATTCTGAATAAAACTAAGGTACCTAAGAACAAAGGGTCTAAAAATCAGTTTCTTATGGCATGTAAAAACTGTTCCGAAGGGCAATGAATATTACAGTGGAAACGACGGCAAAAAAGTAACTGAAACTTATGCTGATATATATTCTGTAAGTACTTGTGTATTTTTGTAATTGCGTCGTTTATTGGATTAGTTAACGGTTAACCAGTTACTCATTTTAGATGCTTGGACTTGATGGCGGATTACTTAATACTTGAATAAGTTTTTGTTTGTTCAGCTCAGTGGTTCTCGACTTCCAATTTTTTTAATAATTTACGGCGTTTTGCACTGAATCAACAAAATACTAGTTTGAAACTTTAAAACAAACACAAGTATAGGATGAAGATATGGGTGCACTTGTTTCATAGTGATTATTCATCTGTTTTGGGTTGGGTTTTGCAAAGCGCAACTCTCATATCGTTTTTTACCTTTGTATTACCAAGTCCTTTGTATTACCAATTACCAAGTACCAAGTCCATGCTTCCGAAAACAAACAATACAGTAAAAACTAATCCCATACCCGACTTGGAATGGTAACCGGACGAGAGGCCGTGGTTCGCCATATGGATAAGCCGTCTTATCGGCTTTCCTCTCCCCCGGGATAAATATGTAAATCCTATCCTAAATCCTATCCTATCCTATTATCGATCGAGCTATGAGCCATATACCAGATTTCTCCCGCAGACCTTTCGAAAGTGATTCACATACCCCCATAAAGTACCTGGACCCCACTTTGGGAACCACTGGTATAGCTGATAAAGGGAAATTTACCTATTTTAAGAAGCAAGCAAGAGGATTACAAGATCATGGGATGAGAAGGAATTGAAACTGAATTTATTTTTATTTTATTGACATTGACAGGAACTGCGGAACAAAATAGAAGAAGAAAGAATGTGTAAAGTCTGTTTCAGTAATCCTGCTGATATGGTTTTGCTACCCTGTCGTCATTTACTTTGCTGTTTAGATTGTACACAAAGGATCAAACAAGGCAATCGGAAATGCCCTTTTTGTCGTAGGAGGATTGGCAATACAGTAAGAATTTTCAGGATTTGAATTAAGGTAAGTTGAGAATTTATTTATGGTATGGATACTTCCAGTACTGCCCGTGTATATCACTTACTTTAACTAAAATGTTTGTACATGCCCGAGTCTGATTACTGAATGATATATCGAAATAACTTATCCAGCTTTCTCATTGATTATCCAGCCTCTTTAAATAATACAGTAATTATCATATTAAGTTCAATAAGTTGAGTAGCTTTAATGTCTATGTTTGGCATGATTTCAGCTTGTGGAATGTATTTACAAACTCTCAGTGAATTCTAAACCAGTTTTGAAATTGAGTCTTTTAAAGTAAAAATAAATTTGTTAACAAACTTTAAAAACTCATTAACTAAACGCTTTTAACAAGAGCAGAAAAGGACTTGCATGCAGTTTGTCGAAATCATATGTTGGTCACAGATAAATCTTTGACTTTAACATTTTTGCCAATTCAAAGCTGAAATCAATTTATTTCAATGACTCGGTCGACAGTTAGATAAAACTTTTTTTGACACTCTGGCATTGATGATTTTCAAATAGCGCTTTACTCTTTATTAACACCATCATTAGATTTTGTCATTTTATTTTTCAGATCCACACCGAAACAGTATACTGAAGAAAAGCACTGTCGCATATTGTAAATAAAGTTTTAATTGAATTCTATTTTTTTTCTCTTGTGCTTATTATTTCTTCTCTTTCTTATTATGTTATTGTACAACCCACTCTAATACCTTCGCTTTCTGTAGTTTTAAAGAACGGGGAAGATCGTGGCTGGTCTGACCCAATACCCTGGTAAAATTCATCAAAGCCATGTTAGAGTTCCTGCTTCAAGTGAATGACTTTATAGTTTTATTCAAATAAAGCACAAATATGTGCGAAAAGTTTTGAATCTAGATCTATCACACCCAAGTTTTGTATGAAGGTGGTACCGAAAATGAGTATTGTATTTCATCGGTAGGGCCCAAACTGAATAGTTAACTATTCAGAATACGTCCTGAAAGCATATTTTCAAATATGGAATATATTCTAAACTGGGAACATCTTTATTCAAAAATTACAATATTCTGTATATATATTTCGTTTCATCATATTTGAAATGGCACAAATATTAGGATCATTGTTTTCACATTTCATTTGCATGCATTTGATGAACATATGCTTTGCCCTGCTTGGTTGATGCCAAATTTACGTCTCAAAATCGACAATTTGCTAAATTATATATTTCAAAATTTTCCCTAACTCAAAGTATCTATTATATTGAATATAATACTTCTAATATGTTTGAATATTCAATACTACGCGAAAGCAGTATGCTCATCAGATCAGATTTACCTATTAGGGGAGTGTTTCCAGATTTAGTGAATATTTTTCTGTTAGCATAACTATTTGTAACCCATAAAATATGTGTCATGCAATTAACTGACAATCTGCACTGGAAATTTAAAGCTTGATGTGGATCTCGTTCTGGAAAAAATTTTGATCGTTTGGGCGATTACACAATAAATACAATTGTTTTTGACTGATCTCATAATAACGTAATAAATTCCACTGAAGAGATTACACTAATTCTTCAGTTGATCCCACAAAACGAATTTTTTTTTCTGTGTTGCTTCAAATGTATAATAGTGTTGACTAATGACTTTATTGTAATAATAATTTATTTCTTTGTATTTCTCTGGTGAATTGCATAGATGTCCAATAAATCATAATATTCACCCAATATTTTAAATCTTAATTGGAAGCTTGATGCCAGTAACTTGCTTTCAATCCCGCGACTTCCCTTTCCCACCAAACTTTTGTTCTCTATCGGTTAGGGTTGGTCGGTTATTGCTTCCTCCACGAACAGGTGCGTTTATCCCAGGGGTCTCCAACTCAAAAGTATGTCGCGGGACACTTTTTGAAATTTATTGACGTCGCCGGCCGCAAACTAACAAATTATATATATACAAAATTGGGTACTCTCCAAGTATGCACACCAAGATGTCGCATAACCTGAACCCTAACCTGGTACACAACCTGAGTCCAGGTTTGCGCCATCTTGGCATACTTCAGGAGGTCCCAAAATTGTTATACAAAAATTAACAAAGTAAATCTGAATATATTTGTTGAAATTACCCTTGAATCTTACACCAAGCGGTATCAGTATCAGTAGTTTATTTTTACACATGCCGAAAATACACATTATACGAATAGGATTAAGTAAAAAAAGAAAAAAATGCATTTTAGTGTGAAGGAAGACGCGATAAACCAGTAATGGTTATCGAGCAGCGTCACCTACAAGGAAGTCTAACATCAAATTTTATAAAGGAATAAAAAGACGAACATTAAATACTAAGAGAATACGGAAATAGAATATATTCAGGCGACCCGAATATCCGAGTCTCGTTCATAACGAAGGAAGCAAGCGACTCCAGTCACAACAGGCGGGGTAACCATGTCAACCGCGTTTTATCAGATATCAGAGTGATAAACCATAGCATTATGAGGTAACTATGGATAAACGGGCTAAGAAACCTCGCTTGTCAGCTGCAGTAAGGGCCATTGTTTTGGGGGTAGTACCTCATTCGGAAGACATTAATAACAAACAATATTATTGGAATCAGGTTCCGAAAGGGGTTTTTAAATCTATACGGTACCGTACCGGTACTCATGGAATTCTACAGGGGCCTGATGACTGGGTGCTGGTGGCAAATTCATACATGAACAGAAAAAGAGATCAACTTAAAAAGGTAAACAAAATTCTGGTAAATACTAGATTATCGTTGAACCAAACATAAGTTAGATCTAGCAGAAATCCACAAACAGACTGCACAGATATTATTAAAATAGGCTACTGAAGGCAATTACAATGCAATAAGAGATCTGAAATAAAACTTATAATTTTAGATCATGTACCACATGGCTATTGTGGTATAATTTCAACAAAAGTGAGAGCACTTATGTTTGACTGCAGGTAACAAATGCAAAAAAAGATATTGGTTAATTCAAAACATGAAACCTCGAGTGTGACTGCACTTCCACAGATATCTGTGGATTACAGGAAGAATAGAAACAAACTCATGTGCAAAATAAAAAGTATAATAAATATAAGACATGACTATTCATTTCTCTGCATATAATTAAACAGTCCTTGTAGAATTCAAAAAAAGTAAGCATGGAGATTCATTTCACTGTGCAATATATGAAGTAAATTAAGGAATAGACAGAAATAACCATGAATATCCATTCCACTGTGCAGTATCAAAGGTGCAGAACGAATTCAACAAGAATAAGCATGAAAATTTATTTCACTGTGCAGTATATAAAGTAGGCAACAACAAAAGAGTGAATATTCATTCCACTGGGCAATATATAAAGTACGACAAAAGTGTGACATAGAAAAATAAGCATGAAAATTTATTCCACTGTGGAATATATGAAGTAATAACAAGAATCTAATAAAAACAAACATGATTGTTTCTTCCACAGTGCAGAAAATTGATTATTAAAAGTATCAAGTCAATCAATTCGAGAGGCTGTGGATCAGATCAAGCAATCCTGGCAATGACAAAGAGGAAAGCTGACAGCACATCAACTCTAGGTGCTGGCAGGTGACAGGTAAGAAGAGAGCATGAATTTTTTAAATTTAAATTTAAAGATGTCATAAGTGGAGTCACGTAGACTGAGGGGAATACTGTTCCAAATTAGTACACCTTTGTATTTTAGGGAATTTTGTGTTAAGCCTAGGGAAAAACGTGGTACAAAAAGATTAGACTTAGTCGAGGAGCGGGTATTGTGCTCATGTACATTACTAAGACTTAGAAAATAATTGTCAAAAGCTGCGGGTAGATTATTGTTGTGGTATTGGTGCATAATCTTGGAGACCTCTAATTTGTAGATGTCTGACAATTTTAGCACCCTGGTCTTCACCTTTGTCCAGTTTATCATATATATAGGAAATTCTCACAGTTAGGAAATGTCAAATTAAAATCTTGGACTAATTGGCAATCTAAATTATCTTTAATGTACAAACCCACACCACCCGCCTGAGTTGGAGAGGGAACATGATAAAAGGTGTACCCTGGGATGTCCACATTAACAGGCATGGTCATATTATTGATCCGGGTCTCACTAAGAGCAATCACATGGGGGCGAGAGATGAAACAAGACATGAAACATATTCGTTTACTTGTGTTGATTATTTGGCAACGTTTTGTAGCGGTGAGAGACTTGGCCCTATTTTGCGTTGATTTGCTGGTCTTTAGAAAGCATACAAACTCTCGTCCGTTAGTCGTGTGCGAAAGGCTGATTCGTTAACGCTCATTGGTAAAAAATTATATACACTCTTTAATAAAGCTTCCCTCAACGAAAGGACGCGACGATTTCGCAATCATCTCGGGCAAAGCTTGCTTTCATCGAATCTTCACAAGTTTGTTTATGTCTGGGAAAAATTTCTCTGTTTCATCAGTGAAAATTTTATTTGCCTTACCTTTTTGTGACGAATTGTTTCAGTATAAACATGGTATTTTTCCCTGTGTAATGATCCATAAGTTTATAAAAATCTAGTTTTGCGTTAACTGCACATACGATTCATAACTGCACACTGCAACTAATGATTCACAACTGCACACTTCCATGATCTGACCGAAACTTGTTTATTTCATCATAATAAAAACGCGAAATGAAATGATTGAATTTACAATTTGATTATTACAAAAAAAAAATGTGAACGCGGTATAGTGGAATAACGGGAAGTATTTTTGTTTTACTTTTAACTGTTTGTTGTACCGGACTCTTGATGTTAAATAACACGATAAAACTCATAGTTGACATCATACAATTTTATTTTTTTCTGGAAAAATCTCAACACGATGCGGGCCGCGAAAAAATACTTGGCGGGCCGCATGCGCCCCGCGTGTTGATGACACCTGGGGTATCCAGAACACGTAACGACTGGCTGAAATAATCCTATTCCGGACATGAACTGGTAAACGGATGAAAAGACGTAACGTAGGTCATCCAATCAGCTTCCTTTTTCCGGATACATTTGGAAATCCTATTTCATTCTTATGAACGATAAGGTGCGCTAGGGCTAGGCCGTTGTTTTCTTCTAGGCTAGGCTACTTTGGTTGTGAGGATCCTTTCACAGTGACATCATACACGATTATATGGATTCCTAACGACGCCATAATATATATATTTGAAAGTGCATTATGTCGTCGTAAGTATTTTTTCGAAATTCTGATTACAGGCAAAATACGTATGGTAATTAAGCAAGTATATTGCCTTACAATGTAATAAGCTCGGGGCTTAAATTATCGTTTCACTTTTTAAAAAAGTTAGATTTTATGTGGATTAATTCATTAAGCTATTATTCAGAGGCGTAGCCAGAAAATTTCAAGGGGGGGTTGGCAACCCCCTGCTATTATTATTTTACTTTGTCCTTTTCAAAGTACAATGGGATAATTTGGAACATAAATATTCACCTCGATTACAGAAGGAAAGAGATTTCACTTTTTATTGTAAGAACGCGACTAAATGTCCGATATCGCTAGTCGAATTTCTGTCACAGATCAAGTTGGAAAGATTTTATAATTTAGTGCGGTGGTGATCCCCCCTCTAAAATTTCAAACGCCTCCACCAAATTTTGAGGTGTAAAACCACACTTTTAATTCCCTAACTTGGATACACTTTTTATTCAAATATTCTGATAGTGACGCGTATATGCCAGTGCAGATGTTCAGTCAAATACAGAAAACATTATCATGAGTTACAAATAGTTTTATCGCTGATAGCAAAATATTTACCACCCCCTAATTTTGGAAACACCCTCTCTCGAAAATGAAAAGCTGGGGAGCATACTGATTTAGCGTCAATTGTAAACTCGATCAAGCACTAGTAAGAAATGAATTAATGTTCCATGATCCTCTCAAAATTATTTTATCGATGCTCTCAAAATTATTTTATCTGGGAATCTAAAAAGGAATAACTGGCTAACTAATCCCATACACAACGTGGACTGGTGGCCGGACAAGAGACCATAGTTCGCCATATAATTAACTCTCCTGTTTATCGGGGGATAAAATAATGTACAAAACCATATTGTTGCTTTGAAGTAAAAAAATGTTGAATACTGTTTAAAACGTACAATTCTCAAATTATTTTCAAAGTAACTTAAATATCATGGTAAAGTTACAATGACGAATACATCTATTTTTTCCCTATTTTGTTTATTTTTTATAAAAAAATTCTATTTTCTGCAATTTGGAGCTACCGTAAACAGCCCGCCATTAGATGAACGTCGAAAACAAAACAGGGCAACAAATGACGTATGGGACAGATTGTTTTGTAATCGAAGCACGTGATTTGCATTGTTGACCAATCGGTGATCGTCATTCCAAAACCACGACTTGTTCTGTTTGTTTCTTTATTATATTTGCCTTCTTCTCACCCTGACACGTTGGCCAAAAAAGCGAGACCGACGAGCATTCGAATCAGGGGCAGCGAGGACGAAGTTGGCTTAGTGTTAGTAGAGCGTTTACGGACAGATTGAGTTTAGGTTTAGACATCGTTGGTCATCCGAGTTCAAGTATTATTGAGGATCGCTGCGATACTTCGAAAACGCTGGCGGTAGCAATGTTTATATGAACAGGAATTAGTCTCAGATGATATTACTTTTGCGTTTTCTTTTACTCATTTTATCTCTTACTCCTATTGTTTTGAACTTTTATTCATGTTTACTATATCGCTGTTAATTTTGCAGTGTCTGTACCCCTTATTCAATATTGTTTTTATATATGTGTGCGATATTCAATATTGTGGATTGCTACCTTATTTTATGTGCTATCATTCGATAATAGACTTTTATTCCTGCCTGATTAGCTATAAATCTGCTGTTTTGTTTACATTTTTAAAGGACCTGCAACGTGAAAGGGATGATTTAAAAACGCCTCCACTCCAAATCGATTTTGTTGTACTATTGGAGAACTCAGGGTAAGTCTTATATATATGCGGTTTGTCTTTAAGTGATATTTTGCCTAAAAATCGCTGACGTTCAAATTGGAAAACGTATAATGGATACAATTTTTTTCGGGTACGTTCATGGAGCAAAATATGTATGATATTTCTGTTCACGCTAAAAGTTAGACTAATTTGATCTTTTGTACAAAGGCCCCGTCACTAACGCAAAAATGTTAGATCTGAGAAAAACACATCCGCCACGTTTCACGGTCAAGGTTAGGTCTGCATTCCTAACACTAACTTTAAATGAATAATTACTAATTTTCTTGTTTGAAGTGTTGGCGGGGTTGTTTTTTGCCGGGGACTATGTACAAAAGATGCTAATAATTTCAGAAATATTGATGAGCAGTAGAGAAATGGAAATTTTTTTATGCTTTAGAGATTGAACCTTAAATCGCATGTTTATCAGCAAGTACGTCACGTCTCAACGAAAATACGGTATGTCGAATTTTTATCATGAAGTATTTAAATATATTTCAAGCCTGTTTACTTGAACAAAGGGTCTAAAAACCAGTTTCTTAGGACATGCAAAAACTGGCGAAACGACGACGGCGAAAAATCTCCGAAAGTTCCGCTCTTATTCTGTAAGTACTTGGGTATTACTGTAATCAACCTATTACTTAATAATCTTGTGATTTACCTTAAACATTACGTTATTTTGAATGTACACAAAAAATTTGAGATTATGCGTTTTTTTTTATCAACTATTTTTTCAGGAATTCAAGAATGGGGGTGCGACAATCGTTAATTTCGAAGGAATGCGAAATAGAGTGGCATTTGTTCAAGGGAATAAGAATTTGCTTTTCATTCAATCAAGTCCTCGAACAAAAACTTATTGCATTGCGAAGCATGTGAGCAGCGTTTCCTCCGTGGGTGTCTCGGAACAAAGATACGTAAAAGTTTTATCTGTATCAATATCAAATTTAATTTAATTTTAGCTTTTGAGGTAGTATATTATACAGACGACCACGAGAATGCGATGTTTTGTTTGTTTCAGGCATAAGAAGGGTGAAACAAAGATCTTAAATACATCATTCAAAGCAAGCGGGAAGCGTGTTAGAAAAGCAAGGTGCAATATTTCGATATTCTGAATAAAACTAAAGTACCTAAGAACAAAGAGTCTAAAAACCAGTTTCTTAAGGCATGTAAAAACTGTTCCGAAGGGCAATAGATAGCACAGTGGAAACGACGGCAAAAAAATAACTGAAACTTATGCTGATATATATTCTGTAAGTACTTGTTGTGTATTTTTGTAATTACGACGTTCATTGGATTAGTTAACGGTTAACCAGTTACTCATTTTAGATGCATGGACTTGATGGCGGATTTCTTAATACTTGAATAAGTTTTTGTTTGTTCAGCTCAGTGGTTCTCAACTTCCAATTTTTTTTATGATTTACGGCCTTTTGCACTGAATCAACAAAAAACTAGTTCGAAACTTAAAAAAAAAACACAAGTATATGATGAAGATATGGGTGCACTTGTTTCATAGTGATTATTCATCTGTTTTGGGTTGGGTTTTGCAAAGCGCAACTCTCATATCGTTTTTTACCTTTGTATTATCGATCGAGCTATGAGCCATATACCAGATTTCTTCCGCAGACCTCTCGAAAGTGATTCACATACCCCCATAAGGTACCTGGACCCCACTCTTCCGCAGACCTTTCGAAAGTGATTCACATACCCCCATAAGGTACCTGGACCCCACTTTGGGAACCACTGGTATAGCTGATAAAAGGGAAATTTACCTATTTTAAGAAACAAGCAAAAGGATTACAAGATCATGGGATGAGAAGGAATTGAAACTGAATTTATTTTTATTTCATTGACATTGACAGGAACAGCTGAACAAAATAGAAGAAGAAAGAATGTGTAAAGTCTGTTTCAGTAATCCTGCTGATATGGTTTTGCTACCCTGTCGTCATTTACTTTGCTGTTTGGATTGTACACAGAGGATCAAAGAAGGCAATCGGAAATGCCCTTTTTGTCGTAGGGGGATTCCCAATACAGTAAGAATTTTCAGGTGTTGAATTAAGGTAAGTTGAGAATTTATTTATGTTATGGATACTTCCAGTACTGCCCGTGTATATCACTTCACTTCAGTAAATTCTAAATCAGTTTTGAAATTGAGTCTTTTAAAGTAAAAATAAATTTGTTAACAAACTTTAAAAACTCATTAACTAAACGCTTTTAACAAGAGCAGAAAAGGACTTGCTTGCAGTTTGTCAAAATCATATGTTGGTTACAGATAAATCTTTGACTTTAACATTTTTGCCAATTCAAAGCTGAAATCAATTTATTACCTTTTTTTGACACTCCGGCATTGATGATTTTTAAATAGCGCTTTACTCTTTATTAACACCACTATTAGGTTTTGTCATTTTATTTTTCAGGTACACACCGAAACAGTATACTGAAGAAAAGCACTGTGTCGAATATATTAAATAAAGTTTTAATTGAATTCTATTCTTCTTTCTTAATATGTTATTGTACAACTCTGATATCTTCGCTTTCTGTACTTTTAAAGAACTGGGCTTCATTCTCCTGGCTGGTCTGACCCATTACCCTTGTAAAATTCATCAAAGCCATGTTAGAGTTCCTGCTTCAAGTGAATGACTTTATAGTTTTATTCAAATAAAGCACAAATATGTGCGAAAAGTTTTGAATCTAGCTCTATCACACCCGAGTTTTGTATCAAGGTGCGACCGAAAATGAGTATTGTATTTCATCGGTAGGGCCCAAACTGAATACTTAACTATTCAGAATACGTCCTGAAAGCATATTTTCAAATATGGAATATATTCTAAACTAGGAACATCTTTATTCAAAAATTACAATATTCTGTATATATTTCGTTTCATCATATTTGAAATGGCACAAATATTAGGATCATTGTTTTCACATTTCATTTGCATGCATTTGATGAACATATGCTTTGCCCTGCTTGGTTGATGCCAAATTTACGTCTCAAAATCGACAATTTGCTAAATTAAACTCAAAGTATCTATTATATTGAATATAATACTTCTAATATGTTTGAATATTCAATACTACGCGAAAGCAGTATGCTCATCAGATCAGATTTACCTATTAGGGGAGTGTTTCCAGATTTAGTAAATATTTTGCTGTTAGCATAACTATTTGTAACCCATAAAAAATGTGTTATGCAGTTGACTGACAATCTGTACTGGAAATTTAAAGTTTGATGTGGATCTCTTTCTGGAAAAAATTTTGATCGTTTGGGCGATTACACAATAAATACAATTGTTTTTGACTGATCTCATAAGAACGTAATAAATTCCACTGAAGAGATTACACTAAGTCTTTCAGTTGATCCAGCAAAACGAATTATTTTTCTGTGTTGTTTCAAATGTATAATAGTGTTGACTAATGACTTTATTGTAATAATAATTTATTTTTTTGTATTTCTCTGATGAATTGCATAGATGTCCAATAAATTATAATATTCACCCAATAAATTAAATCTTAATTGGAAGCTTGATGCCAGTAACTTGCTTTCAATCCCGCGACTGCCCTTTCCCAGCAAAACTTTTGTTCTCTATCGGTTAGGGTTGGTCGGTTATTGCTTCCTCCACCAACAGGTGCGTTTATTCCAGGGGTCTCCAACCCAAAGTATGTCGCGGGACACTTTTTGAAATTTATTGACGACGCGGGCCGCAAACTAACAAATTATATATATACAAAATTGGGTACTCCTCAAGTATGCGCACCAAGATGTTGCATAACCTGAACCCTAACCTGGTACACAACCTGAGTCCAGGTTGTGCGCCATCTTGGCGCGCATACTTCAGGAGGTCCCAAAATTGTTATACAAAAATTAACAAAGTAAATCGGAATATATTTGTTGAAATTACCCTTGAATCCTACACCAAGCGAGACATGAAACATATTCGTTTACTTGTGTTGATTATTTGGCACCGTTTTGTAGCGGTGAGAGACTTGGCCCTATTTTGCGTTGATTTGCTGGTCTTTAGACAGCACACAAACTCTCGTCCGTTAGTCTTGTGCGAAAGGCAGATTTGTTAACGCTCATTGGTAAAAAATTATATACACTCTTTAATAAAGCTTCCCTCAACGAAAGGACGCGACGATTTAGAAATCATCTCGGGCAAAGCTTGCTTTCATCGAATCTTCACAAGTTTTGTTTATGTCTGGGAAAAGTTTCTCTGTTTCATCAGTGCAAATTTTATTTGCCTTACCTTTTTGTGACGAATTGTTTCAGTATAAACATGGTATTTTTCCCTGTGTAACGATCCATAAGTTTATAAAAATCTAGTTTTGCGTTAACTGCACATACGATTCGTAACTGCACACTGCAACTAATGATTCACAACTGCACACTTCCATGATCTGACCGAAACTTTTTTATTTCATCATAATAAAAACGCGAAATGAAATGATTGAGTTTACAATTTAATTATTACAATAAAATATGAACGCGGTAAAGTGGAATAACGGGGAGTACTTTTGTTTTACTTTTAACTGTTTGTTGTACCGGACTCTTGATGTTAAATAACACGATAAAACTCATAGTTGACATCCTACAATTTTAGTTTTTTTCTGGAAAAATCTCAACACGACGCGGGCCGCGAAAAAATGCTTGGCGGGCCGCATGCGGCCCGCGTGTTGATGACCCCTGGGGTATCCGGAACACGTAACGACTGGCTGAACTAATCCTATTCCGGACATGAACTGGTAAAGGGATGAAAAGACGTAACGTGGGTCATCCAATCAGCTTCCTTTTTCCGGATACATTTGGAAATCCTATTTCATCACTTATGAACGATAAGGTGCGCTAGGGCTAGGCCGTTGTATTCTTCTAGGCTAGGCTACTTTAGTTGTGAGGATCCTTTCACAGTGACATCATACACGATTAGATGGATTCCTAACGACGCCATAATATATATATTTGAAAGTGCATTATGTCGTCGTAAGTATTTTTTCGAAATTCTGATTACAGGCAAAATACGTATGGTAATTAAGCAAGTATATTGCCTTACAATGTAATGAGCTCGGGGCTTAAATTATCGTTTCACTTTTTAAAAAAGTTAGATTTTATGTGGATTAATTCTTAAATTCAAGTGCTCCAGCAACCTGAACCCACAACCCCCGTTGGCAACCCCCTGCTATTATTATTTTACTTTATCCTTTTCAAAGTACAATGGGATAATTTGGAACATAAATATTCACCTCGATTACAGAAGGAAAGAAATTTCACTTTTTATTGTAAGAACGCGACTAAATGTCCGATATCGCTAGTCGAATTTCTGTCACAGATCAAGTTGGAAAGATTTTATAATTTAGTGCGGTGGTAATCCCCTCTCTAAAATTTCAAACGCCTCCACCAAATTTTGAGGTGTAAAACCACACTTTTAATTCCCTAACTTGGATACACTTTTTATTCAAATATTCTGATAGTGACGCGTATATGCCAGTGCAGATGTTCAGTCAAATACAGAAAACATTATCATGAGTTACAAATAGTTTTATCGCTGATAGCAAAATATTTACCACCCCCTAATTTTGGAAACACCCTCTCTCGAAAATGAAAAGCTGGGGAGCATACTGATTTAGCGTCAATTGTAAACTCGATCAAGCACTAATTTTTTAAGAAATGAATTAATGTTCCATGATCCTCTCAAAATTATTTTATCGATGCTCTCAAAATTATTTTATCTGGGAATCTAAAAAGGAATAACTGGCTAACTAACCCCATACACAACGTGGACTGGTGGCCGGACAAGAGACCATAGTTCGCCATATAATTAACTCTCCTGTTTATCGGGGGATAAAATAATGTACAAAACCATATTGTTGCTTTGAAGTAAAAAAATGTTGAATACTGTTTAAAACGTACAATTCTCAAATTATTTTCAAAGTAACTTAAATATCATGGTAAAGTTACAATGACGAATACATCTATTTTTTCCCTATTTTGTTTATTTTTTATAAAAAAAATTCCATTTTCTGCAATTTGGAGCTACCGTAAACAGCCCGCCATTAGATGAACGTCGAAAACAAAACAGGGCAACAAATGACGTTTGGGACAGATTGTTTTGTAATCGAAGCACGTGATTTGCATTGTTGACCAATCGGTGATCGTCATTCCAAAACCACGACTTGTTCTGTTTGTTTCTTTATTATATTTGCCTTCTTCTCACCCTGACACGTTGGCCAAAAAAGCGAGACCGACGAGCATTCGAATCAGGGGCAGCGAGGACGAGGTTGGCTTAGTGTTAGTAGAGCGTTTATGGACAGATTGAGCTTAAGTTTAGACATCGTTGGTCGTCCGAGTTCAAGTATTATTGAGGATCGCTGCGATACTTCGAAAACGCTGGCGGTAGCAATGTTTATATCAACAGGAATTAGTCTCAGATGATATTACTTTTGCGTTTTCTTTTACTCATTTTATCTTTTACTTCTATTGTTTTGAACTTTTATTCATGTTTACTATATCGCTGTTAATTTTGCAGTGTTTGTACCCCTTATTTAATATTAATTTTATATATATATGTGTGCGGTATTCAATATTGTGGATTGCTACCTTATTTTATGTGCTATCATTCGATAATAGACTTTTATTCCTGCCTGATTATCTATAAATCTGCTGTTTTGTTTACATTTTTTAAGGACCTGCAACGTGAAATGGATGATTTATTACCGCCTCCACTCCAAATCGATTTTGTTCTACTAAATCCCAGGGCAAGCCCTATATATATGCGGTTGTTCTTTAAGTGTTATTTTGCCTGAAAATAGCTGACGTTCAAATTGGACAACGTATAATAGATACAACTTTATAGTGGCGTTCTTGGAGTGAAATATGTATGATTTTCTTTCTGTTCACGCTAAAAATAAGTCAAATGTAATTTTTGATATTTTGCATCCGCCACCAATGCAAAAATGTGAGATCTGAGAAAATCACCTCCGCCACGTTGTACAGTCAAGGTTAGTACTGCATTCCTAACCATAGCTAAGCTTGAATGGATAATTACTAATTTTCTGTTTGAAGCGTTAGCGGGAATGTTTTTTGGCGGTGACTCCGTACAAAAGATTTTGATCTTTCCAGAAATATTAAAGAGCAGTAAAGAAATGGAAATTTTTTTGTTTCAGGAATTGAAGCTTAAACATTTTCAGTGAAAACTGAGAACGCGTGTTTTGTACGTCGTGAAAATGTTGGAATTTCATCAAAATATTTAAATATATTTCAAGCCTGTTTACTTGAACAAAGGGTCTAAAAATCAGTTTCTTAGGGCATGCAAAAACTGTTCCGAAGGGCAATGGATGGCACATTGGAAACGACGGCGAAAAATCGCCGAAAGATCCGCTCTTATTCTGTAAGTACTTGGGTATTACTGTAATCAACCTATTACTTAATAATCTTGTGATTTACCTTCAACATTACCTTATTTTGAATGTACACAAAAAATTTGAGATTATGCGTTTTTTTTATCAACTATTTTCCAGGAATTCAAGAATGGGGGTGCAATAATCGTTAATTTCGAAGGAATGCGAAATAGAGTGTCATTTATCCAAGGGAATAAGAATTTGCTTTTCATTCAATCAAGTCCTCGAACAAAAACTTATTGCGTTGCGAAGCATGCGAGCATAGTTTTTTCCGGGGGTGTCTCGGAACAAAGATAGGTAAAGTTTTGTCTGTATCAAATTCAATTTTAATTTTAGCTTTTGAGGTAGTATATTATACAGACGACCACGAGAATGCGATGTTTTGTTTGTTTCAGGCATAAGAAGGGTGAAACAAAGATCTTATAAATACATCATTCAAAGCAAGCGGGAAGCGTGTTAGAGAAGCAAAGTGCAATATTTCGATATTCTGAATAAAACTAAGGTACCTAAGAACAAAGGGTCTAAAAATCAGTTTCTTAGGCATGTAAAAACTGTTCCGATTCAAAGCCAAGCCAATTCAAAGCTGAAATCAATTTATTTCAATGACTCGGTCGACAGTTAGATAAAACTTTTTTTGACACTCCGGCATTGATGATTTTCAAATAACGCTTTACTCTTTATTAACACCATTATTAGATTTTGTCATTTTATTTTTCAGATACACACCGAAACAGTATACTGAAGAAAAGCACTGTCGCATATTGTAAATAAAGTTTTAATTGAATTCTATTTTTTTTCTCTTGTGCTTATTATTTCTTCTCTTTCTTATTATGTTATTGTACAACCCACTCTAATACCTTCGCTTTCTGTAGTTTTAAAGAACGGGGAATATCCTGGCTGGTCTGACCCATTACCCTGGTAAAATTCATCAAAGCCATGTTAGAGTTCCTGCTTCAAGTGAATGACTTTATAGTTTTATTCAAATAAAGCACAAATATGTGCGGAAAGTTTTGAATCTAGAGTACCGAAAGTGAGTATTGTATTTCATCGGTAGGGCCCAAACTGAATACTTAACTATTCAGAATACGCCCTGAAAGCGCATATTTTCAAATATGGAATATATTCTGAACTGGGAACATCTTTATTCAAAAATTACAATATTTTGTATATTTTTCCTTTCATCATATTTTAAATGGCACAAATATTAGGATCCTTGTTTCACATTTCATTTGCATGCATTTGATGAACATATGCTTTTCCCTGCTTGGTTGATGCCACATTTACGTCTCAAAATCGACAATTTGCAAAATTATATAATTCAAAATTTTCCCTAACTCAAAGTATCTATTATATTGAATATAATACTTCTAATATGTTTGAATATTCAATACTACGCGAAAGCAGTATGCTCATCAGATCAGATTTACCTATTAGGGGAGTGTTTCCAGATTTAGTAAATATTTTGCTGTTAGCATAACTATTTGTAACCCATAAAATATGTGTTATGCAGTTGACTGACAATCTGCACTGGAAATTTAAAGGTTTATGTTGATCTCGTTCTGGAAAAAATTTTGATCGTTTGGGCGATTACACAATAAATACAATTGTTTTTGACTGATCTCATAAGAACGTAATAAATTCCACTGAAAAGATTACACTAAGTCTTCAGTTGATCCCCGAAACGAATTTTTTTTTCTGTGTTGCTTTAAATGTATCATAGTGTTGACTAATGACTTTATTGTAGTAATAAAATCTTTCTCTGTATTTCTCTGGTGAGTTGCATGGATTATAATATTCACCCAATATTTTAAATCTTAATTAGAAGCTTGATGCCAGTAACTTGCTTTCAATCCCGCGACTGCCCTTTTCCACCAAACTTTTGTTCTCTATCGGTTAGGGTTGGTCGGTTATTGCTTCCTCCACCAACAGGTGCGTTTATATCAGGGGGTCTCCAACTCCAAGTATGTCGCGGGACACTTTTTGAAATTTATTGACGTCGCCGGCCGCAAACTAACAAATTATATATATACAAAATTGGGTACTCCTCAAGTATGCGCACCAAGATGTCGCATAACCTGAACCCTAACCTGGTACACAACCTGAGTCCAGGTTGTGCGCCATCTTGGCGCGCATACTTCAGGAGGTCCCAAAATTGTTATACAAAAATTAACAAAGTAAATCGGAATATATTTGTTGAAATTACCCTTGAATCTTACACCAAGCGAGACATGAAACATATTCGTTTATTTGTGTTGATTATTTGGCACCGTTTTGTAGCGGTGAGAGACTTGGCCCTATTTTGCGTTGATTTGCTGGTCTTTAGACAGCATACAAACTCTCGTCCGTTAGTCTTGTGTTTCATCAGTGAAAATTTTATTCGCCTTACCTTTTTGTGACGAATTGTTTCAGTATAAACATGGTATTTTTCCCTGTGTAATGATCCGTAAGTTCATAAAAATCTAGTTTTGCGTTAACTGCACATACGATTCATAACTGCACACTGCAACTAATGATTCACAACTGCACACTTCCATGATCTGACCGAAACTTGTTTATTTCATCATAATAAAAACGCGAAATGAAATGATTGAATTTACAATTTAATTATTACAATAAAATATGAACGCGGTAAATTGGAATAACGGGGAGTATTTTTGTTTTAATTTTAACTGTTTGTTGTACCGGACTCTTGATGTTAAATAACACGATAAAACTCATAGTTTGACATCATACAATTTTAGTTTTTTCTGGAAAAATTCTCAAACACGATGCGGGCCGCGAAAAAATGCTTGGCGGGCCGCATGCGGCCCGCGTGTTGATGACCCCTGGGGTATCCGGAACACGGAACGACTGGCTGAACTAATCCTATTCCGGACATGAACTGGTAAACGGATGTAAAGACGTACCGTAGGTCATTCAATCAGCTTCCTTTTTCCGGATACATTTGGAAATCCTATTTCATCCTTATGAACGATAAGGTGCGCTAGGGCTAGGCCGTTTTCTTCTAGGCTAGGCTACTTTGGTTGTGAGGATCCTTCCACAGTGACATCATACACGATTATATGGATTCCTAATGACGCCATAATATATATATTTGGAAGTGCGTTATGTCGTCGTAAGTATTTTTTCAAAATTCGAAATTCTGATTACAGGCAAAATACGTATGGTTATTGAGTAAGTATATTGCCTTACAATGTAATGAGCTCGGGGCTTAAATTATCGTATCACTTTTTAAAAAAGTTAGATTTTATGTGGATTAATCCATAAAGCTATTATTCAGGGGCGTAGCCAGAAAATTTCAAGAGGGGGGGGGGGGGGGGGGGGGGGGGCTCTTAAATTCAAGTGCTCCAGCAACCTGAACCCACAACCCCCGTTGGCAACCCCCTGCCAATAATATTTTACTTTATCCTTTTCAAAGTACAATGGGATAATTTGGAACATAAATATTCACCTCGATTACAGAAGGAAAGAGATTTCACTTTTTATTGTAAGAACGCGACTAAATGTCCGATATCGCTATTCGAATTTCTGTCACAGATCAAGTTGGAAAGATTTTATAATTTAGTGCGGTGGTGATCCCCCCTCTAAAATTTCAAACGCCTTCACCAAATTTTGAGCTGTAAAACCACACTTTTAATTCCCCAACTTGGATACACTTTTTATTCAATTATTCAGATATTGACGCGTATATGCCAGTACAGATAGTCAGTCTAATACATAAGCATTATTATGAGTTACGTATAGTTTTATCGCTGATAGCAAAATATTTACCACCCTCTAAAGTTTGGAAACACCCCTCTATCGAAAATGAAAAGCTGGGGAGCATACTTAGCGTCAATTGTAAACTCGATCAAGCACTAGTAAGAAATGAATTAATGTTCCATGATCCTCTCAAAATTATTTTATCGATGCTCTCAAAATTATTTTATCTGGGAATCTAAAAAGGAATAACTGGCTAACTAATCCCATACACGACGTGGACTGGTGGCCGGACAAGTGACCATAGTTCGCCAATCGCCATATAATTGAGTCGCCTCATCGGCTCTCCTGTTTCTCGGGGGATAAAATAATGGGTGCTCCCGAAGTATGCGAACTAAGATGGCGGACATCGGAACGTAACATGGGTAACAGGTTAGGGTTAGGCGATAATTTTTTTCCAATTTTCCTTATTTTAGTCCTATTATCAGTTTGAAGACTAGCCAAGAGCCTCCCGTAGTATTTATACCTAAAATTATGGCCTAACCCAGGGTTGCCATATTGGCTTTTTTAACGCCAAATTTGCCATTTTTGGCTTTTTTCTAACGCGTTTGGCGTCAGAATTTCCTTTTGGCTTTTTGGCGTTTTTTTTTTGGCTTTTTCCAAGTCTATTCTAGTGTTTATTATTAGAATCACATGAAATACAATATTTAGTGTGTAACAACTAGCCTATTACCTGTACTTAGCTACCTAACATTAGGATTTCCTGGAGCATCGATTTCCTTGTTTGTTACATTAACTCTTAACCATACCCATTAAGAAATAATTGCAGTTTCTGCAGCTGCTCAGACAGATGTTCAAGCAGGGTTGTAAACATTGCCTCGTTTTTAAAGTTTTGCGTGTTATTTGTCAGTTTTACGTTCTGTTTCCAAAAAATAGTTGTAACACTTAATTTTCATTATGCCTGATACGGTATAGTTTATATGAGCTTTAGTTTCATTCTGCAATTGCAGTAACGATGTAATTAACTACGCTAAAATTACTAAATTAGATATCAGTGGTCCATCTGTGAGCGGCAGGGGGTTAGATAATTTTTTAATAAAATTGTTGGTTTATAGATTTTAAAAGTGAAAAAATTTTCAATAGTAAAGTACGTTATAGGTTGAATTTTTTAAGGTATATCACAAGTTTAAGTAGAAACATGTAGGTATATTACATACTGACAGGCTGAAGAAGCACTCTGCATTGTATATATTAAATGGTAAAATAATGCTGTCCGCTTGATATTTATTTTACTTTATACAGTTCTATAGGAACTTTACTTTCTACTCGTGTGCCTCACTAAATGAACTGATGGCTCTACATCATCATCACTATATTGCCAAGGGCTTAAAATCTGACAAATCATGAGGCTTTTGTACTTAGTAAAATTGTTGGCTTTTTCTGGCTTTTTTTAGGTCTTGATTTGGCTTTTTTTGATCGCTGGGGTCTGGCAACCCTGGGCCCTAACCCTAACCTAGTACACATATTACATTCCGATGTCCGCCATCTTGGTTCGCATACTTCGGGAGCCCCAAATAATGTACAAAACCATTTTGTTGCTTTGAAGTAAAAAAACGTGGAATATTCTTTAAAACGTACAATTCTCAAATTATTTCAAAGTAGCTTAAATATCATGGTAAAGTTACAATGACGAATACATCTATTTTTTCCCTATTTTGTTTATTTTTTATAAAAAAAATTTTATTTTCTACAATTTGGAGCTACCGTAAACAGCCCGCCATTAGATGAACGTCGAAAACAAAACAGGGCAACAAATGACGTTTGGGACAGATTGTTTTGTAATCGAAGCACGTGATTTGCATTGTTGACCAATCGGTGATCGTCATTCCAAAACCACGACTTGTTCTATTTGTTTCTTTATTATATTTGCCTTCTTCTTACCCTGACACGTTGGCCAAAAAAGCGAGACCGACGAGCATTCGAATCAGGGGCAGTGAGGACGAGGTTGGCTTAGTGTTAGTAGAGCGTTTACGGACAGATTGAGCTTAAGTTTAGACATCGTTGGTCATCCGAGTTCAAGTATTATTGAGGATCGCTGCGATACTTCGAAAACGCTGGCGGTAGCAATGTTTATATCAACAGGAATTAGTCTCAGATGATATTACTTTTGCGTTTTCTTTTACTCGTTTTATCTCTTACTTCTATTGTTTTGAACCTTTATACATGTTTACTATATCGCTGATTTTGCAGTGTTTGTACCCCTTATTTAATATTATTTATATATATATATGTGTGCGATATTCAATATTGTGGAGTGCTACCTTATTTTATGTGCGATCATTCAATAATAGACTTTTATCCCTGCTCATTACCTATAAACCAAATCGATTTGGTTGTACTATTGGAGAACCCAGGGTAAGTCTTATATACAGGGTGATTGAAAGGTAACTCCCTATTTTAAAAAAACTATAGTTTATTTTTAAAATATAATTTCTACAATTAATGAATATGAGAAGGAAGTATAATGCATGGGCTTATTGAAAAGTAACTCCCTATTTTAAAAAAACTATAGTTTATTTTTAAAATATAATTTCTACAATTAATGAATATGAGAAGGAAGTATAATGCATGGGCTTTTATTTAAAATTCAATATGGGCGCCTTTATTTGCCACCAGCTTCTCAAGTCGACCAGGAATCGCATCAACTGATTTCGCAAGAAACTCTTGCGGGATGGAAGTCATAACTTCACGTATTCGCCCCTCAAGTTCTTCCAAATTTCTTGGTTTGGTTGAGTAGACTTCCTCTTTCAGCCAACCCCAGAGCAAAAAGTCGCAGGTGTTAAGTCAGGACTTCTGGCAGGCCATTCGTGCGAACCGCGACGACCCATCCATCTTCCAGGAAATTGAGCATTTAGCCATTCACGAACAACAATAGCAAAGTGTGGAGGAGCTCCATCTTGCATGAAAATCAAATCTTCAATATTTTCCCCAAGCACTGATAATTGGCCAAATTTCATCTTTCAACATGAGAGGTACCTTCTCGGCATTCATGGTATCGCGAGATCGAAGGGACCCCACAATCCTATCAAAAGTTAATTCCCACCATAACCGTTACTATTGGGGATGCGATTTTGCATTTTCAGCAGGTAACACGAGGACTTCTTTCCGCCCAGTAGTGGCAGTATGACGGTATCACGGAAATCCAACTATGTAATACAGCTTCATGCACTCCATCAGAATATTTTAAAAGGTTGGGCCAATCTCTAAACCAGCACATTTTTCAACCAAACTCCATAGCGAATGTCCAAAGTCCTTCTGCAGAGAGTGCTGGACATTTAGTTATGTAATGGCGGCTTTCCACACGCCAATTTAAGATTGCTTTTTTAGCACATTACGTACCACAAATGAAAGGAGAGCCCACTTCTCATTGTTGCTTGACGAATTGACTTATGTGGCTACGGGTAAACATTTCTTTAACAACTTTGCACTACCTCAGGATCTCTGGATTTGGAAGGACCGACCGCTTCTTTGAGTATCAGCCACAGATCCTGTGGTCATAAGTTTTTATGACAATTCTTGATCGTCTTCGGGTCAATTTGGGCATGTTTTCCCTTAATAGTTCTCCACCATCATTTGCACTTGAACAATGCATCCCCAAGCTTCATAAGCGCTCGGCTATCTGGGCACGTTCTGTAGAGTAAGACGTCCAGCCATTTTTGTAGGGTTTTGAAATAAAATAAATTTGAAAAGATTGAAATTGAACAATATTTAAACAAATCTGAAAGGAAAACAAGAACATAAATTAAATTGCCATATATTAAGTAATATATACACATAAATTTAGAAACATGAAACATGATATAGCATTTGAATAAATTGTATTTATTTTAAAATAGGGAGTTATGCGGTTTGTCTTTAAGTGTTATTTTGCCTACAAATCGCTGACGTTCAAATTGGAAAACGTATAATGGATACAATTTTTTCGGGGGCGTTCATGGAGCGAAATATGTATGATGTTTCTCCTTACGCTAAAAGTAAGACTAATTTGATCTTTTGTACAAAGGCCCCGTCACTAACGCAAAAATGTTAGATCTGAGAAAAACACATCCGCCACGTTTTACGGTCAAGGTTAGGTCTGCATTCCTAACATTAACCTTAAATGGATAATTACTAATTTTCTTGTTTGAAGTGTTGACGGGGTTGTTTTTTGCCGGTGACTATGTACAAAAGATGCTAATAATTTCAGAAATATTGATGAGCAGTAGAGAAATGAAAATTTTTATGCTTTAGAGATTGAACCTTAAATCGCATGTTTATCAGCAAGTACGTCACGTCTCAACGAAAACACGGTATTTTGAATTTTCATCAAAATATTTAAATATATTTCAAGCCGGTTTACTTGAAACAAAGGGTCAAAAAATCAGTTTCTTAGGGCATGCAAAAACTGTTCCGAAGGGCAATGGATGGCACATTGGAAACGACGGCGAAAAATCGCCGAAAGATCCGCTCTTATTCTGTAAGTACTTGGGTATTACTGTAATCAAACTATTACTTAATAATCTTGTGATTTAACCTCACATTACGTTATTTTGAATGTACACAAAATTTGAGATTATGGCGTTTTTTTTTATAACTATTTTCCAGAAATTCAAGAATGGGGGTGCGACAATCGTTAATCTCGAAGGAATGCGAAAATAGAGTGGCATTTGTTCAACGGGAATAAGAATTTGCTTTTCATTCAATCAAGTCCTCGAACAAAAACTTATTGAGTTGCGAACCATATGAGCAGCGTTTCCTCTGTGGGTGTCTCTGAACAAAGATACGTAAAAGTTTTATCTGTATCAAATTTAATTTCATTTTAGCTTTTGAGGTAGTATATATATTATACAGACGACCACGAGAATGCGATGTATTGTTTGTTACAGGCATAAGAAGGGTGAAACAAAGATCTTAAATACATCATTCAAAGCAAGCGGGAAGCGTGTTAGAAAAGGAAGGTGCAATATTTCGATATTCTGAATAAAACTAAAGTACCTAAGAACAAAGGGTCTAAAAATCAGTTTCTCATGGCATGTAAAAACTGTTCCGAAGGGCAATAGATAGCACAGTGGAAACGACGGCAAAAAAATAACTGAAACTTATGCTGATATATATTCTGTAAGTACTTGTGTATTTTTGTAATTACGTCGTTTATTGGATTAGTTAACGGTTAACCAGTTACTCATTTTAGATGCTTGGGACTTGATGGCGGATTACTTAATACTTGAATAAGTTTTTGTTTGTTCAGCACAGTGGTTCTCGACTTCCAATTTTTCAATGTTTACCGGCGTTTTGCACTGAATCAACAAAAAACTAGTTCGAAACTTTAAAACAAACACAAGTATATGATGAAGATATGGGTGCACTTGTTTCATAGTGATTATTCATCTGTTTTGGGTTGGGTTTTGCAAAGCGCAACTCTCATATCGTTTTTTACCTTTGTATTATCGATCGAGCTATGAGCCATATACCAGATTTCTTCCGCAGACCTTTCGAAAGTGATTCACATACCCCCATTAGGTACCTGGACCCCACTTTGGGAATCACTGGTATAGCTGATAAAGGGAAATTTACCTATTTTAAGAAACAAGCAAAAGGATTACAAGATCATGGGATGAGAAGGAATTGAAACTGAATTTATTTTTATTTTATTGACATTGACAGGAACTGCTGAACAAAATAGAAGAAGAAAGAATGTGTAAAGTCTGTTTCAGTAATCCTGCTGATATGGTTTTGCTACCCTGTCGTCATTTACTTTGCTGTCTAGATTGTACACAAAGGATCAAACAAGGCAATCGGAAATGCCCTTATTGTCGTAGGAGGATTGGCAATACAGTAAGAATTTTCAGCATTTGAATTAAGGTAAGTTGAGAATTTATTTATGTTATGGATACTTCCAGTACTGCCCGTGTATATCACTTACTTTAACTAAAATGTTTGTACATGCCCTAGTCTGATTACTGAATGATATATCAAAATAACTTATCCAGCTTTCTCATTGATTATCCAGCCAGTTGCGTTATCTTTAAATAATACAGTAATTATCATATTAAGTTCAATAAGTTGAGTAGCGTTAATGTCTATGTTTGGCATGATTTCAGCTTGTGGAATGTAGTTACAAACTCTCAGTAAATTCTAAACCAGTTTTGAAATTGAGTCTTTTAAAGTAAAAATAAATTTGTTAACAAACTTTAAAAACTCGTTAACTAAACGCTTTTAACAAGAGCAGAAAAGGACTTGCATGCAGTTTGTCGAAATCATATGTTGGTCACAGATAAATCTTTGACTTTAACATTTTTGCCAATTCAAAGCTGAAATCAATTTATTTCAATGACTCGGTCGACAGTTAGATAAAACTTTTTTTGACACTCCGGCATTGATGATTTTCAAATAGCGCTTTACTCTTTATTAACACCATTATTAGATTTTGTCATTTTATTTTTCAGATACACACCGAAACAGTATACTGAAGAAAAGCATTGTGTCGCATATTGTAAATAAAGTTTTAATTGAATTCTATTTTTTTTTCTTGTGCTTATTATTTCTCATATTTCTTCTCTTTCTTATTATTTTATTGTACAACTCTAATACCTTCGCTTTCTGTAGTTTTAAAGAACTGGGCTTCATTCTCCTGGCTGGTCTGACCCATTACCCTTGTAAAATTCATCGAAGCCATGTTAGAGTTCCTGCTTCAAGTGAATGACTTTATAGTTTTATTCAAATAAAGTACAAATATGTGCGAAAAGTTTTGAATCTAGCTCTATCACACCCAAGTTTTGTATGAAGGTGGTACCGAAAATGAGTATTGTATTTCATCGGTAGGGCCCAAACTGAATACTTAACTATTCAGAATACGTCCTGAAAGCATATTTTCAAATATGGAATATATTCTAAACTGGGAACATCTTTATTCAAAAATTACAATATTCTATATATATTTCGTTTCATCATATTTGAAATGGCACAAATATTAGGATCATTGTTTTCACATTTCATTTGCATGCATTTGATGAACATATGCTTTGCCCTGCTTGGTTGATGCCAAATTTACGTCTCAAAATCGACAATTTGCAAAATTATATAATTCAAAATTTTCCCTAACTCAAGTATCTATTATATTGAATGTAATATTTCTAATATGTTTGAATATTCAATACTACGCGAAAGCAGTATGCTCATCAGATCAGATTTACCTATTAGGTGAGTGTTTCCAGATTTAGTAAATATGTTGCTGTTAGCATAACTATTTGTAACCCATAAAATATGTGTTATGCAGTTGACTGACAATCTGCACTGGAAATTTAAAGTTTGATGTGGATCTCGTTCTTGAAAAATTTTTGATCGTTTGGGCGATTACAAAAATAAATACAATTGTTTTTGACTGATCTCATAAGAACGTAATAAATTCCACTGAAAAGATTACACTAAGTCTTCAGTTGATCCCGCGAAACGAATTTTTTTTCTGTGTTGCTTTAAATGTATCATAGTGTTGACTAATGACTTTATTGTAGTAATAAAATCTTTCTCTGTATTTCTCTGGTGAGTTGCATAGATGTCCAATAAATTATAATATTCACCCAATATTTTAAATCTTAATTAGAAGCTTGATGCCAGTAACTCACTTTCAATCCCGCGACTGCCCTTTCCCAGCAAAACTTTTGTTCTCGTATCGGTTAAGTTGGTCGGTTATTGCTTCCTCCACCAACAGGTGCGTGTATCCCAGGGGTCTCTAACTCGAAGTATGTCGCGGGACACTTTTTGAAATTTATTGACGACGCGGGCCGCAAACTAACAAATCATAGATATACAAAATTGGGTACTCCTGAAGTATGCGCACCGAGATGTCGCATAACCTGGTACACAACCTGAGTTCAGGTTGTGCGCCATCTTGGCGCGCATACTTCAGGAGGTCTCAAAATTGTTATACGAAAATTAACAAAGTAAATCTGAATATATTTGTTGAAATTACCCTTGAATCTTACATCAAGCGGATCATGAAACATATTCGTTTACTTGTGTTGGTTATTTGGCACCGTTTTGTAACCGTGAGAGACTCGATGTTTGGCCTTATTTTGCGTTGATTTGCTGGTCTTTAGACAGCATACAAACTCTCGTTCGTTAGTCGTGTGCGAAAGGCTGTTTTGTTAACTCTCATTGTTGAATAATTATTTCACAAGCTTCATACACTCTTTAATAAAGCTTCCCTCAACGAAAAAACGCGACGATTTCGAAATCATCTCAGTTATTCTTAAATTCAGTCAGGTCTTAAATTCAGGTGCTCCAGCAACCTGAACCCACAACCCCCGCTGGCAACCCCCTGTTATTATTTTACTACCCTTTTCAAAGTACAATGGGATAATTTGAAACATAAATATTCACCACGATTACAGAAGGAAAGAGATTTCACTTTTTATTGTAAGAACGCGACTAAATGTCCGATATCGCTAGTCGAATTTCTGTCACAGCTCAAGTTGGAAAGATTTTATAATTTAGTGCGGTGGTGATCCCCCTCTAAAATTTCAAACGCCTCCACCAAATTTTGAGGTGTAAAACCACACTTTTAATTCCCTAACTTGGATACACTTTTTATTCAAATATTCATATATTGACGCGTATATGCCAGTACAGATAGTCAGTCAGCAAAATATTTACCACCCCTAAGTTTGGAAACACCCCTCTATTGAAAATGAAAAGCTGGGGAGCATACTTAGCGTCAATTGTAAACTCGATCAAGCACTAGTGAGAAATGAATTAATGTTCCATGATCCTCTCAAAATTATTTTATCGATGCTCTCAAAATTATTTTATCTGGGAATCTAAAAAGGAATAACTGGCTAACTAATCCCATACACAACGTGGACTGGTGGCCGGACAAGAGACCATAGTTCGCCAATCGCCATATAATTGAGTCGCCTCATCGACTCTCCTGTTTCTCGGGGGATAAAATAATGGGTGCTCCCGAAGTATGCGAACCAAGATGGCGGACATCGGAACGTAACATGGGTAACAGGTTAGGGTTAGGCGATAATGTTTTTCCAATTTTCCTTATTTTAGTCCTATTATCAGTTCGAAGACGAGCCAAGAGCCTCCCGTAGTATTTATACCTAAAATTATGGCCTACCCTAACCTAGTACTCGTATTACATTCCGATGTCCGCCATCTTGGTTCGCATACTTCGGGAGCCCCAAATAATGTACAAAACCATTTTGTTGCTTTGAAGTAAAAAAATGTTGAATATTGTTTAAAACGTACAATTCTCAAATTATTTCAAAGTAGCTTAAATATCATGGTAAAGTTACAATGACGAATACATCTATTTTTTTCCTATTTTGTTTATTTTTTATAAAAAAAATTCTATTTTCTGCAATTTGGAGCTACCGTAAACAGCTCGCCATTAGATGAACGTCGAAAACAAAACAGGGCAACAAATGACGTTTGGGACAGATTGTTTTGTAATCGAAGCACGTGATTTGTATTGTTGACCAATCGGTGATCGTCACTTCTTCTGTTTGTTTCTTTATTATATTTGCCTTCTTCATAACCCGACACGTTGGCCAAGGAAAGCGGGGCCGACGAGCATTCGAATCAGGGGCAGCGAGGACGAGGTTGGTTGAGTGTTAGTAGGGCGTTTACGGACAGATTGAGTTTACGTTTAGACATCGTTGGTCATCCGAGTTCAAGTATTATTGAGGATCGCTGCGATACTTCGAAAACGCTGGCGGTAGCAATGTTTATATTAACAGAGATTAATCTATGATGATATTACTTTTGCGTTATCTTTTACTTTTATTGTTTTGAACTTTTATTCATGTTTACTATATCGCTGTTAATTTTGCAGTGTTTGTACCCCTTTTTTAAAATTGTTTTTCTATATGTGTGCGATATTCAATATTGTGGATTGCTACCTTATTTTATGTGCTATCATTCGGTAATAGACTTTTATCCCTGCCTGATTACCTATAAATCTGGTGTTTTTTTCACATTTTCATAGAGGCCTGCAACGTGAAATGGAGGATTTATAGACGCCTCCACTCCAAATCAATTTTGTTGTACTATTGGAGAACCCAGGGTAAGTCTTATATATATGCGGTTTGTCTTTAGGTGTTATTTTGCCTACAAATCGCTGACGTTCAAATTGGAAAACGTATAATGGATACAATTTCGGGGGCGTTCATGGAGCGATATATGTATGATATTTCTGCTTACGCTAAAAGTAAGACTACTTTGATCTTTTGTACAAAGCCCCCGTCACTAACGCAAAAATTTAAGATTTGAAAAAATCACCTGCGCCACGTTTTACAGTCAGGTTAGTACTGCATTCTTAACACTAACCATAAATGAATAATTACTAATTTTCTTGTTTGAAGTGTTGGCGGGGTTGTTTTTTGCCGGTGACTATGTACAAAAGATGCTAATAATTTCAGAAATATTGATGAGCAGTATAGAAATGAAAATTTTTTTATGCTTTAGAGATTGAGAACGCATGTTTATCAGCAAGTACTTCACGTCTCAACGAAAACACGGTATGTTGAATTTTTTCATATTTTTATCATAAAGTATTTAAATATATTTCAAGCCTGTTTACTTGAACAAAGGGTCAAAAAATCAGTTTCTTAGGGCATGCAAAAACTGTTCCGAAGGGCAATGGATGGCACATTGGAAACGACGGCGAAAAATCGCCGAAAGATCCGCTCTTATTCTGTAAGTACTTGGGTATTACTGTAATCAACCTATTACTTAATAATCTTGTGATTTACCTTCAACATTACGTTATTTTGAATGTACACAAAAAATTTGAGATTATGCGTTTTTTTTTATCAACTATTTTCCAGAAATTCAAGAATGGGGGTGCGACAATCGTTAATTTCGAAGGAATGCGAAATAGAGTGGCATTTGTTCAAGGGCATAAGAATTTGCTTTTCATTCAATCAAGTCCTCGAACAAAAACTTATTGAGTTGCGAACCATATGAGCAGCGTTTCCACCGTGGGTGTCTCTGAACAAAGATACGTAAAAGTTTTATCTGTATCAAATTCAATTTTAATTTTAGCTTTTGAGGTAGTATATTATACAGACGACCACGAGAATGCGATGTTTTGTTTGTTACAGGCATAAAAAGGGTGAAACAAAGATCTTGAATACATCATTCAAAGCAAGCGGGAAGCGTGTTAGAAAAGCAAAGTGCAATATTTCGATATTCTGAATAAAACTAAAGTACCTAAGAACAAAGGGTCTAAAAACCAGTTTCTTATGGCATGTAAAAACTGTTCCGAAGGGCAATAGATAGCACAGTGGAAACGACAGCAAAAAATAACTGAAACTTATGATGATATATATTCTGTAAGTACTTGTGTATTTTTGTAATTACGTCGTTTATTGGATTAGTTAACGGTTAACCAGTTACTCATTTTAGATGCTTGGACTTGATGGCGGATTACTTAATACTTGATTTCGTTATTTGAAATATACACAAAGTTGTGATGATGAATTAGATTTTTCTATCAACTATTTTTCAGAAATTCAAGAATGGGGTTCCGACAATCTTCAATTTCGAAGGAATGCACAATAACGGGAACGGTGGTATTTGTTCAAGTGAATAAGAACTTGCTTTTCAATCGTGATGGTCCTTCTGAAACCAACTTATTGGCGTTGCGAAGCACGCGAAGTGTTCTTTTTCGTAACAAGATAGGTAAGAATTGTCTTATCAAATTGAATGTAATTTTAGCTTGGGAGTTTTCTTTATAGACGGCCATGAGATATGACGTTTTGTTTGTTATAAGAAGGATGAAACAAAAATACTTCCAAAGCAAGCGGGAAGCGAAGCGCGTTAGAAAAGCAAGGTGCAATATTCTGATGAGTCTGAATAAAACCAAGGTACTAGAACCCTTCGACAAACTCATATTTTTAAAGCGATGTTTAATGTGGTTTTAGAATTGTCGTCCAAAATTTGAAGTCTAGAATAGTAAGTATCCAATGCAAGCGGAAAACATGGAGCAATGTACGACCTTCATGTGCGTCTCTAATAAAAATGAGGCAAAGTAACTTCTTTCTTGATAATTCGGTTATCCACAGCCTGAAAAATCATATTTAATTAAAAGTTTTGAGAATGCGATACTTGTGTAAGATTGGTGATCGAATTTATTTAATAGAAGAAAAAGTTTTAAGTTTTGAAGCACGGTGTGTGCTTGTTTTATTTTAAAGATTGATCAACGTGCATTTTCCTTACAATGCGATGTTTTTGTTGTGTTCCAGAAATTGCCCAAATAAAGTAGTGCAAGCGAAGAAAGTAGTGCAAGCGGAAAAAATGTGAAGCAATGAATACTTTTCTGTTCGTTTGTCTCAACACAAACAAGGCAAGTTAGCTTTATTTTCCCAAAACTATGCTTGTAGGGAATGTTAGTGCTTCATAAATATTAATTCATGGCTCGGAATAAATGATGATAGCCGTGACATCCTATTCGTACATACCTAAAGCGCCTCTTTGTTGATTGGGATTGGAATAATAATGCAACATAACCGTATTTATATAATAAATCCACTGCTCTCACTGAAATCACTAAAATCGTAAATTGCTCTACAAATTGCGGAGAAAATGCAAACAATTGAAGTGATTAACAAAATACCTCTGCGGGAGGATTCGGTGAGTTCATATCGGTCATATTGGTACCATAGGACTGCTAGGTCAAGGAAATGTTTAGGCCAGGCGTGTGCAGCCTTTAACACAGAAAAGCCAGATACTGGGTGAAACCGCGGACGGTACCTTTAACATAGGCTCTTTAGTAGATACGGGCACAAAAATTTTGGTTATTGATCTTATGACATGCGTTGGTCACTTCGCACAAGCTGGCTTGGGTCATTGCAACGTTATATGCATAAATTGGACTCGCTTTGCAACGTGAAGGGTTTGGATTACTCGCACGTTCCAGATTAAACTAAAGTAAAAACTCGTTTCGCGGGCGCACACCGTTCAAAATTGGTTCTTCTCCGCGGGCCGCACTCCTTGCGATCCGCATTCGGCCCGCGATCGCAGGTTGCATACCCCTGATTTAGACCATCGGTTTCAACCGCCAGTCCGCGGACTAATGCAGTTACGCGCAGTTTTTCCCTAGTCCGTTCTGTTAACCGCTTGATGAGCGAAATACTTTGATTACGATGCTTTAGTAGTCTTCGGTCGTCAAATTAAAGTGTTAGACAAGCGTGGTATTGATTTCCCGACGGTTGTTTTGTAATTTTTTTTTCTAGTGCATATAGTCTGTGTCAATCAGTGTCAAAACTGCAAAGTGCAACTCCAATACATTTTATAAATTTCAGTTTTATTCTATTCGATTTTCTGTTTCCGGTCCACGGATTACATTTAATGTTACTGGTCCATCGGGATAAAATGTTATAAAATACTGATTTGAACCATCAACTCGACAAGAAACTTTAACCGACTCTTGGTTGTAAACAAATTTTGACTCAAACCGCGAATTTAATAAAAAATTTGACACCGACTGCAGCTTCGAGAAAACCGGATTTAAATATAATATTCGACGTATGAAAACGTTCTCTAAGACTGTTACAAACTTCCAATTTTTACAAAACTTTTCGGCTTGTCTGTGTAAATAACCTACTCAACTTCGAGTACACAGCCCTGATCTGTACACTCTTAATACTCATAACAATAAAAAAAAACACATCTTTTTCCCTCGTCACTATTTGGTGCAACTAAATTTAAGATATTTCCACCCGTAAAAACTTCTTGATATGTGAGAGTAGCTAGTATTCCTACAAAAATATTGGAATAGTTCCGGTTCGAAAGTTTAATAAATCGTATTTTATTACGCAGGTTATGTCAAGATTACGACCGTAAGCGAAACTCAAGAATCAAATTGAAGTAAGTGTTGGCAAGATGGCAGTTACACATTTATTTCGGTAACGAGGGCAGCCTATGAGACGGCTTAATCACACAAAAACCACGGCTTTATGTCCGGGTTACCAGAACATGTCGGGTGCGGAAGTATTTTACCAGTTGCATCAACATTAGGTTTACAATTTAATTCCAAATACGTTCCACACTTTGCATATTTAATCACTTTGGTTTTAGTTTTAGTCGTTGGTGTCTCATTAAATTGTTAACTGCACAACTGCGCCATAGCGTTCAATGTTTCGAATTTGTATGCGTAAATATCACTCAATAAAATAATGATAAATGAGTGAGTATTTCGTTCTACCCACATGTGGAATCCTAATCCAGTTAGGTTAAATTCACACATATGACTAATGTGTCAAGAGCTACTGAGACTAAAAATCGATGGAGGTGAAATGCACCTCAGTATGTCAATACGACCAGGAAAACAGGGTGCCATTTTACGTAGACAACCCCGCCACTGCCCGAAATAACTAAATTTTACCATCCAATATTAAAACTTCCTTCTCTTCTGTCTTCTTCATCATTGAATATCGTTCAGGCATGACCTGTTAGAATAATCTAACCCCAGAGCTAGGGGGGGCTAAGTCTATCCCGACTGAAAGCCCCTCTTTAATTCATAATTCCTAATTCAAAATTCATAATAAAAAAAAAAATAATTAATTCATAATATTTAATTCATAACTATTTTTCAATATGGATTTCCAGTTTGTGGAATCGCGATTCATTTGGCCCATTCATTTAATTGGTCCTTGGTATTAGTATTATCCCGAACATTCTACGCACACATAATCCCTCACCAATGCTGTTATTAATAAAATTTCGCGTAGGTCTAAGTTGGTCGGGTGTAAAGTCTGTTACGTGAATGCTAAAATCTTAAATAATTAGAATCTGATACTATACCAGTTTTATAATATATTTCACATATCTCCTTGTTAGTTTGTTAAATCTTTTTTATATTTCAGTTGTCAGAAAAGACAAGAAATCCACTTCTAAATTTTTCAACCAACCCGGATTTTCCGGAATTCGATGCCTGTCAGATCGCCCCAGCAGTGACATATTTGTCTCCTAGGTCGAATTTTAAACTTCGTCCCCTCAATAGCAAACTGACTAATTTTAACTACTGGTATACCGAGATGCTTCCTCGTTTAATAAGTATCGTGACACGAGGCAATATTTAAAAATGATTGTTGTAAACTGCTTGTCTGAGAAGGTCTGACGAAACGTTAAAGAAATACATTTTGCATTTGTGTTAGTGTGCATCTGGCCTTTTTATTGGATAGAATGACCCTTTTGACTGTTAAAAATTTGCTGGATTTTGGGATACGTGTACGTTATTATTAAGTAAGAGTAACTACGTGTTAAATTTTCCAGTCTGAAGCCTTAAAATGCTTTGTTGTGATTTTTCTTTTGTAGAATTGTTTGTGAATTTGGCTTTTATGAAATTGAAGCATTGTGCGATTGAAAAACTTTCGCCTTTTTTGTGTCATATGCCATGTGATATGGCTTCCATAGCCCAGATGCGCCACTGTCCCCAGATATTCAAAACTGCTAATTTTTACCCATGATAGGCATGGCAGCAATTCGGCTTTCTGGGAGCACTGAAATGCTATGAGAAACAGCTATGCATTCTAATAATTCACGGGCTACATTTAATTTTCTTTGGGAATTTATTTAGTCCAGATAATATAAAATGTCAATGAGCAAAATTTGCGAATATAGTCTACATATGATTTTTTTAGAACTAGTTTTTATGGTGTATTATTTGTTGTGGGAATGATTTTGTTTGATAAAATAAAAATACTGAAAGAATATTGGCAATTGCTTCAAAGGACTATATAGTTGATCGGAATCGCAGTTAAAAAAAATGTTAGGGTTTAGGGTTAATAAAGGTGTTAGAAAGCATTCGTTACGGAGCGTGCTAATGACGCCACAGATTTGTGACGTCATCGGTTTCCCTGGGCGCCCGCTGGCGCTAGATCCGGGTCAAAATTCGTTCAAATTTTTATCTTTGGCCGACGATCGGCCATAGATAAATCGGATGTAAATGATGAAATTTATCTACAATCATGCTTGATCATACATGATCCGGAAACAAATTTTAAAAATCCACTTTTTCTAAGGGGTGACACTTCGATTTCATCAATTTTTTGGCTATGACCTATGACTATGACTATGACTAT